GAGGTTTTATTATTTTTAAGGGTGGCTTTATCTGCAAATTTGGATGCTTTTTTTCAAAACCCTACAGCTGCACGTGCTGCTGTTGCTGAGAAAAGGGTAGGTGAACCATTGGGAAGAGAAGATTTAGAAAAGAATAGAGAAAGAGACTCAAAATAACCCTGCCTTGATTTTGTTTGGCATAAGATATAGTAAACAAAAATAGACAGGCTTAGTTTCAAGATATTGCTATTCTATCCTAGAACAATAAAAAGCATATCTGAAAACTCTACTGGCTTGTTTCCTGTCTATTTACCTCCAAGTGCTGACAGCAGTACAGTTCCTTCTGGTTCCAGGGTGGGTGGTGGGTGGGTGGGTAGCATTTTAAATGTGTGGTGGGGAAAAGTCTCAATGTCTCCTCGATGCTAATGCTTACATTCTTTTCTCAAAATTGAGAAAACAAAAAGTTGAAAGTAAAATGTTTGGTTAAAATCAGGGATTTAAGAATAAATAAATAGCTGTTCCTTAGCTTTCTGCAGTAATATTGTATTCCTGACATGGATGCTATTTCTTAAGTGAGAACTCTGCATTAATTTAAAAATAGCTCTAGACCTCTGAGCTCATTATGTTGCCTTGTTTAGAAGTGGAATTAATTTGTTTCTGGCTCAGCTATGGTGCATTTGAAACGACTTTTTTTTTCCTTTGAAAACACCTTGGGTCATTTGACCCTGTGGATGATTGTTTCTCCTTTATCAGAACTCCTAGCCTCACCATGCCCAGAGTTTGGGCTTCATCCGGTTTTTATTTTACAAACCACCAGACAAGAACAGATATCAAGAATATAGATGTTTATGAGGCAATTTATTTATTCTTGAGATGGAATGGGGGTGAGAGGATTTTTGTTAGTGGAGAACTTCTGGCAGCTCTGAGTGGATCAGTGATCTTTGCTCCTCATTTTCGGCATTTTGAAATTGGCTGGTTTGTAGAGGATGACAGATTGTTTTGCAAAACCAGGGAGTGGAAGAAATAGTAGTGTGGAAATATCCTTAGAATCATTAAATTAATATTAATTTTAGTTAAGCCATGTTGATTTTATTAATTTTAGTTAAGCCATGTTGACATACTGTAATCAAGTTTATTGGATCTAGCCTACTGTTGCCTGTACATGATATACAGGGGTGGGATTCAAATTTTTTAACAACCGGTGCTGTGGACATGGCTTAGGTGGTGGCCGTGGCTTTGTAGACATGTGATCAACCCTTAATCCCCCAGCTACAAGTCAGTCTGGGCCCCATCCAAAATTCAATAGCAAAATCAGTAATATAATTTTTAGCTGATTTATTTTAAAATGCCTGTTAAATCTCCACTGGATTTAATGAACCTATTTTGCTTTTAAACAAAATAGAATATAAGTGTTCCATTTAAAGTTCCATGCCCTTTCTGGCAACAGATATTTAAAACAACAGTAACAATTGCAATTCAAAACCCTGGCCAGAGCGATGCTAACCACCCAAGCAGATAACATAAATCAAGCCTTTCCCCAGACTCTAGGGCCTAGAAGGAGTGGAGACAAGAGCAAAGGGGCACTGCAGGTGGGAAGACCCTCTGTTGCAGAGCACCCAGCCTAGTTGGGTTGCTTACATCTTTCATTACAATACAGCTGTGTGATTCAACCAGTGTAACAACCACTTCAGTGAGCGTGTGCTTTGTGCACACGCAGAGTAGACGCACAGAGCACTTGCTAATTCCTTCTCTCTGTGTTAAACAGCTGACACATGGCAATCCGCTGTGCTGCACAAATCAGCTAAGCTTGAAAAACAGGATATAAAGCACAGACTAGAGCCGGGGCTGGTGGGTAGGCCCAACAGCTGATCATTGGAGCAAACTGGCTGGCTCACAGCTCATCCTTGGAGCTACCGCTTCAGTTGAACCAGGCTGAACCAGGAGAATCCCACCGCTTTACAATACCAGCCTTTCCAGCCATTGGCCATCCTGGCTGTAACTGATGGGTGTTTAAACTAAGCCCAGCATATCTGAAAGGTGGGAGAGAAGTAAAACTCATGTCAGAGTGATGGAGTCATTTTGAACTGATTGCTACTCTTCCTGTGGGGCAAAGCTTCAACCATAATAATACATGGGCAAAGAATCAATACAAACTCAAGGTAAACTGCTTCAAACCCAATTGCAGAAAATATGGCTTCAGTAACAGAGTGGTCAATGCCTGGAATGCCCTACCCGACTCCATTGTTACAGCCTCAAACTCTCACAGTTTCAACCTCAAACTGTCGCACCGGTAGCAAGAATTTGGCGTAGGTCACCGAACTGGTAAGTTCTGGCTGGCCACGCCCCCCACCCGGTCGCCCTCCTGCCCAATACTCGCTCAACCCCGCCCACCTGCCTGACATTCACCTAAGGTATTTCTTTTTTTTCCTCCCGACAATCAGCTGTAGATAAGATCAGCTGTGTAGAGATTCCCCTTGCTGAGGCCCAGGAAGGCAAAAAATGGAGGGAGGAGCTCAGCCCCCCCTCCATTTTTTGCCTTCCAGAGCCCCAGAGGAGTCTTAGGGGAGCAAAAACGCCCCCTCGAGGCTCCTCTGAGGCTAGGAAGCTCCCAAAAACCGGTGGGAGCTGCAAAAAAGCCACGTCCACCCAGTCACATGGCCATGCCCAGCAAGCCACGCCCACAGAACCGGTAGTAAAAGTTTTTGAATCCCACCACTGACCTCACCCCATTCCTAAGTCCGTAAAGGGGGCGTGCATAAGCGCACCAGCGTGCCTACCATCCCTGTCTTACTGTCCCCATTGCAATCTAGAAGAGGTTGTAGTCTGCATGATTCTTTCCTCACCACCAGATGGCAGATTGCCTTCTTTAGATAAAATAGGATAATTAGGAACCTGGTTTATCAGGACGTTCCTTGTGGGTATATCCAGGGGTGAGATTCAACCGGTTTTACTACCGGTTCAGTGACTACGTTTTGTGCGCACGTGTAAAAAAACCTTAAGTTGTTCCATCTGGACAGCTGAAAAGCGCTGTGTGTGGGTGTGCAGCGTTTGAAAAGCCTCTATTTTCCTGCTTTTCCAACCTCAGCTGTGCCGCGCAAAGCAGCTGAGGTTGAAAAAGCAGGAAATAAAGGACAGGTAAGAGCCCGGGCGGGCGGGCCAAACAGCAGCAAACACAAAATCGGTTCGGTATCTGCTGCTCTTCAGAGCTACCGGTTCTATAGAGACGGGCAGAATCGGTAGCATCCCACCCCTGGGTATATCTATGTCACATGCCCGGTTTAAAGCTGAGCCCCCATAGCCAGGAGGTGGGCAAGACTATTCCCTGGTGGATAACAGGTAACATAGCCAAGAGAGATTAACTCTAAAGTTTGTCTTTTATAAAATTGGCAGCCCACAGGCATTGCTCCGTGCCTTTACTCAGAACAGCAAACTGGTTCAGATATACAGGTAGTCCTTGACTTCTGATCACAATTAGCACCAGAATTCCCATTGCTAAACAAGGTAGCTTTTAAGTGGATTGGATTTTACGACCTTTTCTGCCACAGTTAAGCAAATAACTTCAGTGAATCATGTGGTTATTAAGCAAAGCCAGCTCCCCCCAACCCCGAGACCTTGTTTGTCAGAAACTGGCTGGGAAGGTGGCAAATGGTGATCACACAACCTGGAGACATTGCAACCGTCATAAAAACATGCTGGTTACTAAGTGTGCAAATTTTGATCACAAGACTGTGAGGAAAGCTGCTATGGTCATAAAATGTGAGGCCTGGTCATAGGTAACTTTCTTCAGTGTTGTTGCAACGTTGAATGATTGCTAAATGAATGGTTGTAAGTGGAAAACTATATTTTAGAAATCCCCAAACTCTGAGTTTATCTCTGCTTTTTATAAGATTCTTCCTGCCTGACATGGAGATTTTAAAATGTATACATCTGTCATATATTTTGTGTTGGCTTAATAAAAATCCCTAAATATTTCCCTAGTAAGGATTTTAGATTTCCCCTTTTTGCCACATTCTTGTAGCCATGAATATAATTTAAAATGCTTGCACTGCACTTTGAGGTGGCTCATATGTTTTAACAATTACTGAAGATTATTGCACAAGTAGGTAGCCTGAAATAAATACTTATAAATTCTCATTTTTCTTGCACAGTTACTCCAGGAAAGTTTCACATAGATGTATGTTCTACACTTCTAGAATATTCATGATGTAGTTATGGTTGCACAAGTTAGCACTTGGAAGTTGGTGAATTTTCAGCAGCTGGTTATGCATACTTTCCAATAGGTGAAGCAAGCTTCTGCTAATTTTTTGTTTTTTTTCCCCTGGAGTCAGCATTGACTCCTGGTGATTGCCTGGACAAGTCCCTGCAGTGTTCTTGGCAAGGTTTCAAAAGTGGTTTGCCATTGTCTACTTCCTAGAGCTGAGAGTGAGTGACTAGCCCAAGGTCACCCACCTGGCTTCTACTGAGGACTAGAACTCACAGCTCCTGGTTTCTAGCCAGGTGTTAAGGCAGGGGTGTAAAACTCATGTTGTCATGGTGGCATCATGTGATATATCAAGACTTTTTTCCCCTTTTGCTAAACCGGGCATGGGTGTGACCAGGACGTGATGCATCCGGCCCATGGGCCAAGAGTTTGACACCCCTGCATTAAGGTATCAGGTTAACTGCTACAACAAACTGGCTATCTATTTCTGATAAGCAGTTACTTATATAACATATTTATTTAATTAAACTCTGTATCGATGAGTGACTATTGGACAAAACTGAAGTAAGCTTATCTCCTTGTCTTTTCCCATGGTCAGAAACCTTCTATGTGGTAGCATCTGCTCTGTGGAATAATTTCCATTTCTATGACACACCAGGCCTCAACAATAAGGGCCCCAAAATATATTTCTTTTACATTTTTTTATGTATACAGCTTTTATCCCTCAACCAAGCAGCCGTATGCCCAGTCAGCCACCCTCGAGATGTTTGAGAAATCCTGAAGTGCAAAGGCAAGAACTGAAAGGACACATCAACAAAAGACCAGAATTCAGTTGCATTTATTTTGTTGCCTTATTAAGCAAAAAAAGGTGAACAGATCAGGAGGTTGTTTAAACTAGTGAGAGGCTTCTGAAATTCAGACCCCCTTCTGTGCAAATAAATTCAATGGTTTCCAAACCAGTTTCATTGGGAAACTTGAACTGATGGCCTCCAGGCAATGTAATATTCACTTCTTTTTTGTCGTTTGTGAAGACCACCTGAAAAAAAAAAAAACCACAATGGAGTGAAATATAGAGTTCAACAGAAGATACAGCATCCATTTAATTAGCCTAATAAGAAGTTGGATAGCAGTTGGGTAGGTGAAATAATTGCCAAAGAAGATCTAACTAATGATTGGTAATTTCATAAAGCTTTTGAGCCTTTAATTATGTGATGGATAAATGTTCGATAATACAAGGTTGGGGAATATAGAACAGAAACCAGTTCCCAGTAGTTTCACCCAATATAGCCAGTGATCAAGAATGCTGGAAAGTGCACAAGTCCTTAATTTCCTCTTTATTATCTACAACAGACTTACATAATTTGAGAGCTTCATTTATGAAAGACTTCCCATCATTCTTAAAAAAAGTATTGCCATTAGAAAGAGCTAGGAACTCCCAATGACAAGTTGAACAAGTAAGGAGATCAACCACTCCAAGAGCTACCCATCACAAAACCCTTAAGAGCATCAGTTGGGACTATCAGAGGAGTGATTAAAAGGACTAATAGAGGAGTATTAGAAGTACTAGATGAATAATGTCTAAATTATTCTCTAGGTGTATTGGAATAGAATGCTGATAAACCACTGGCTGGGAGAATGGGCATCAGGGGTGAAATTCAACCATCTCACACCACCTCCGGAGAGGTGGTAGGGATGATTTGAATAGCTTTGGAGAGGTGGTAGGGACGATTTGAATCGATTGGCCCCGCCCATGCACGCCTGCCTTCTTCCTTTTAGAGACTGAGTCCCACCAAGCCATGCCCACCAAGCCATGCCCACAGAGCCGGTAGAGAAAAACTTTGAATTTCACCCCTGATTTTTGACATTATCAAACATGTGCAGAGTAAATGTTGGGGAAAGCATGCACACACACACATTTTGCCTCTTCTTGTGCCCTTTTAAGACTCACCTCAACAGTTTCACCCTCCTGGAAAGGGAAGTTGGTCTCCCTGAGTTCTTTCCCCCATTGCCCTTTGTTCCTGGAATTGCACACGATGGTTCTTACGTCTCCATGAGCGTTAAAACGTGCATTGAAGTGTAGTGCAAGATTATCTTGATCTTTGCCAAGATTTATTACAAAACTGTGAAGGATGGGGAAAATATATGGTAAGATCCTTGTGCAGGAATAATAACAGAAATAGACTGATTAGTGGCATTTATATTCCTCTCTTCCAAAATCACTGAAACCAAACTATTTCTAGGGCAATTTACTAGAGCGTAAAGCAAATTACTCCCAGCAGTATCTAATACACTATCCTGCATTTAAACTAAGAATTTATTAGCTTGGGTTAGCAAGCAGCATTCTAATGGGATGTGAAAAATAGTGGCAATATGTACATGAAATATTTGCCTGGCATCCTTATTTATTCATACTTTATTAACCCAATTTTTGGGCTTGACAAAACACTAAAGTATAAAATAAACTGGCAGACCGAGTTCATACAATGAAGTAGGCTGAAGCGTGCTTGGCTAGTGTTGGAAGAAATATCCATCTGGGTTCAGTTCCAAGTGGGGAGAAAGACACTGGGACATGGAGGCTGTTTGGAAACATGGTTTAATGGTGGACAGGACCACATGATTTGAGGCCCTGGGCAATTGAGCACATGGGTGTGTGTGAGAGAGAGATTTATCCCTCTCTTGGGCTTTGAACTTGCTTCCTGTTCCTGTGAAAGAAATGTATTCTGATTGGTTGTCAGTCTCCCATGTGGCCATATAGGGGTAACTTTGTAGGTTGTCTTTAGTCCCAGGCTTGGTTGAATCTTGCTGGGTGATGAAGAGGGTGTTGGGCAATTCCTATTATGGCTTAATGGCTTTGTCCATTAATGGTTTTAATTAATGGCTTTTTAATGGTTTGGATCTTGAGTGAGGGCTAATCCTATCATGTCCTGAGGGTGAAAGTCTTTTGTTTTGTAGATAAGCTGGCCCAGCCTTTTGTCTTGTAAATAGGTTGGCACCAAAATATCTGCTGTGGGTGGCAGGAAACTGAGGCTCTGAGTTTATGTCTTTCAAAACATGTTTCGCCAGGGAAAATATAATATTCTGCTTTTTTAATATTTCCTAGAATATTTCATTTTTCTAGGAGAGGGATGGATGCTAATTTTCTACACTAGTTTGCAGTATGCTCCACAAATGTAGCCACTGAAAATTATTGTGGTAGCTTCCCCCTTCCATTTTTCACATTGTAATCTGAAGCAAGTTCAGTCCTAAACAGGTATTCTCTCTCACTCTCACTTCCCACTGCACACTTTTCTACTCTGAAAAAGAGCAATAAATGAAGATAAGAATAAGCATGCATGAGGCAGGATGGGAATGGAAAATTTCATGCTGGTAATTTCACACCAACTTCAGGGTGGGTGGGAGCTCTGCAACATGGTAATGGGGAAAAGGCATCCACCGCCAATTCCAAGCTTCTCCCATCCCAATTTGGCAGCTGCCTTGCCTTGCCCCTAAGGCAAGCTGAAGCAGTCACATAGTATTAGCAATGTTCTTGCTCAAGAAGATCAGTTCTCTTGGCTTTAATTAGTATCACCTGTCTCTTCCAGGGATCTTCCCTGCCTTTGGGGTGCAAGTGGGGGATGTCTGAGCCAAATAATGGGGATTACCAGTAAGGGAAGAGTTGGGGCATGTAGATCCTCAGAATATCTGTCTCAGTGACAAAATACAGACTCCCTCAAGAGTCCCTACGAATGCCTAATACACTCCCCACCAACACCATTGGTGCTTGCTAGAAAGTGTTACAACTCCCTTTAACTAGGAACAATGGGAGCTTAAAAGCAGCACATTTGGAAGTCACCTGCTTGGGTAAGTCCATTGCATAGACAGAATAGCATCATTTTCATAATATCATCCAACTTTTCTCTTTCAAATTGTACCTTTGTGCCATGTGAATTGCTTTTTTCTTAAATGGCCTTCAATGACTACATTTTACTGCTATAATTGGTATGTCTTCAATATATTTTAAGGAGGAATGCTCCTGACTATATGCTTTTTGGCAAGATGCTCCACTGTTTATCATTTGGAGTGATTTCTAAAATATTTTCCTGCTCAGACACATGTCCTCCTCTACAGACCCAACACCCACTTTTGCTTTCATGCCAAGCCAAATAATAAGCACTGATTATAGCACTAAATGGTGCTGATCATGCAGTTTTTTTCCTAAGAAAAAGTCTCCAGTCCCTTTCTTGATATTGGTGAAAACTGGAAGAACACGCATACAGTTTTTAAACTTTTTAGACTCATATGTGAGAGCTATTGGTGAGGTGGCTAAGGCATCAGGCTAGAAACTGGAAGGTTGTGAGTTCTAGTTCCATCAAGGTCATTTTTCTCAACTTTATGAGAAAAGTCTTTATGCATCCCCCACGATTCCTAGTCTGAATATCATTTGAATGTGCTGGCTTGAGCTGTTGAGCTGTGATCCAACACATTTGGAGGACACTTGGTTGATGAGTCAACAAGTGGGCAAACTTGTATCTTTAAAAATGGATAGTCAAATTGGAAACCACAGTCAGAAGAATGTATGTACAGTTTTCAAATTATCATGCTCATGGTCTTTCTAGAAGATCACCAAATTTAGGTTACTGTGTACAGTGAATAGGGGAGGGGACACATTCCAAAAGGAGACAGAAGGAAGACAAAAAATGGGGCTGCTTCCCAACAGCTGGTTTTATTTAGTTTCTTGGCAGGAGAAGCAGAGAGCAGCGGGGACGTGTTCAGATATGAGTCATTGGAAAATGTTACAGTGGCATTAACCCTTTTCTAGCAAATTGTCCATCGAGCTTCTCAATCATCCAGGACATGGTTGTCCCACTGATGCTTTTTCCCAAAAGATGTTTTGCCTTTTGGGGGAAAAACAACTTTGGGATCTTTTAGATTAGAGTTAGAGGAGGGAAGAAGCAACAGGATTCTTCTGTTTTGTTAGTGAGGACTACTAAGTTCTTCCTCCTACTCACATAGGCCCAGACTATATTGTACTGTATATCACTGGAGAATATATCAGTGTAGAGAGTCAGGGAGATGATCTTGATAGAAATATGCAAGAATCATTATATAAACAAAGAGGGCTGAAACACTACTTAAGTCTCGGAAAGCAAGGTAGTATCCAGAGGTAACTCAGGCAATCTCATCCCTGATTCACCGGGATACAAGAAGGAAGGAAGTAAAGCACATCAGGTGTTCAAGATTTCAGTATTATATCCTATCTCAATAAAATACAGTTCTAATTTAATGTGGACTTGATTTTCTAGTCTGGCCTTCTAATGGGATTGGCAATCAGACAGATACAAAGAAATTTCTTTATGACACTTAACAATAGTTCCCAGGCATTTTGGAGGAAACCATTATGATTAATGTTAACAATCTGGCATCTTCCAGATATGTTAGATATCAACTCTTACTGTATATCTGGTCATCACCTGGTGGGGGAAGCTTCTATGAATCAATATAAGGTTCCACTATACACGATTCTAAATATGTTCTAAATTATTGTATTAGTGATGCCAACTTACCCTTCACATCCTGATTGAATATCACCTTTCACTGCTACCTTCTGGCCAGGTTGAATCCTCAGGCTACTACAAACAATTCCCTAGAAAAGGAATTCCAAAAGCATTTAGTGAGTTGCTCCTGTAGCCCACCTTTGTAGGAAACCCCCCCCCCCGTAAATACACCTATTATGAACAACTGCTGTTGGGTTATTTGAAGCCAACAACTTGCTGCATTGATAAAACATATTACTGTACCAAGTGGCAGGGAAATATGGCCATGTAGTATTTGGGTCCTTTCACTTCAAAACCAATGAATATTCAAATTAATATCATAAAAAGTGAACAATCAAAACCTTTTAAAGTCTAATTATTTTATCACAGGAAAGGATTGGCAAGAAAGATTCTATCCTTTCCTAAACTAAAGTTGAAGTTGCTACCATGTTCTATTATTGGGATTATTATTATTTTTTTAAAATCAAATGTACAAATTAAAAAATACAGGTATATTTTACCCAGTGTTACCAGTTCAATGAATCATTCTAGAAATGATTGCAATATTATCACCTCAGCCAACAACAATGGAATCAAACCTGTAATATCTCTAGAGATTAACTGGGTTGAGAACAGGTGTTCTAAGCAAATAAAACTGGTACAAAGTTAATTGAACTAGCAGAAATAATAAAGTATATTCCTGAATTGCCCCTTGATATCTGTTTTGTTCCCAGATTAGGATTCTGTCACATAGCAAAGTGGTCCACTAACCAAGCACAAATTTATATTGGATACTTTTCTGCTAATCCAATTAACGTTGGCCAGAAAAACAATAGGAATGATACTTCTGCATAAATCAGAAGGGATAGCCTAACTGGTTATTTCTCACAACATTGTATATTATTAGATGGGAGATTTACAATCTGCACTGTGTTTACAGAAAAATCCAGGAAGTTAGTTATTCCGTTTTAGTATGGCACATTAAAATGTTATCTTTTAAGTAGGCAGCTCTGCTGAGAATGAAAATGATAATCATACAATTAGATTATTTGTTGCTATTGACAAAGCAAAATGTTTTGTGTTAAACATAAAAGTGGCCACAAGTTTGACCAAAATGCTCCAGCATTTGTCACTGTGTGGTTCTAGGCTGCTGCATGAAGGCTACCATGAAACAACAGAAAGAGCCTCATCTGACATTTTTGTCCTTGTCTCTCTGGGCTGGCATTCTTTGGCCCTCAGACTGCAGGCTCATCTTGCTTTTTTCTGTCCTGCCAAACCTAACAGAGCTGAGAGGAGAGAGTCAAGCACCGGGCTGAGTCATGAGGATGCCAGGCTACCTTTTGTCTTGCTACATGCTGAATTTCACTATTGGAAAGGCTGGGGGAGAGTAGCAGAGAAAGGCTTCAAACCCATAGCCACCTTCTGCAAGGGAGGGGCAACTCCTGCCCGTTTGACTGTCTATGAGAGAGAGGGGGAAAGGGGTGTTCTGACATCACCATCTGATAGTTAACTTCTCTACACTCATTCATAACTGGAAGCTTGTGGAAAATCTCAGAAGTAAAAGATGGCGACATGAAAGTTTCCAGTCACTTCCTTTATGGAAAGAAGGCTGAGTTCGACTCTTATACTATTGATGCTGAAAGCCTGATGTGATTTTCTTCAGGAAAACCATTTTCAATCCCCATCTGCTATTCAGACAAATGGTTACAAAAGGCTTTGGGGTATGTTTAAGAGATTAAAATTGGCAAAGTATGTTTATAAAGAGGCAAAAGAAATCTTAGTGTTTCTGATGCCTACAATTTTCTTTTTTTTAATAAAGCAGCCAAAACAGAACTCAAACAAGCAATATTCTTTCCCGCCACTGAACTAAAACAAAATGGAAAAAGATTCATTTGTTTAAAAAAATTTCTGTTGTAAAAGTTAAAACTTTTAAACCATAAAAGACAGAAAATGATAGATAATGTGAGGAAAGGCCTAATAGGGCAACGCCCCAGCGAGTCTGTGCCAGCCTGAGCCACACCAAATTGCCCCAAGACTTTGAACATTCCTGTTATTTATTCCCCCCGACAGATGTTTTCAGTTCCTTCAAATCTCTGGATTTAAAATCATGCTAGACTTATATTATAATAATGAGATTACAGAGTCTGCAAAACTGGGGCTTCCATCAGCAGTTTTTCCAGAAATTTTCTGCAGTTACTGCAATATTGGGAGAGAGCAAACTGGACGAGAATAGGGAGAAAAAAAATGTTAAGCTGAAGCAAATGTAAGCCAAACTTCTCTTCCCAGATATACTTCCACAAACTTCTCCCAAACAAATGAGAAAATTACAATAACCTCATAGATATTTGATACTTCAGAAACCCTGTGCTAGATAGAAGCCTGTTAAGAGATAACATTCTAGTTAACATTTTTAGCTAATTTCATCTTTCACTCTGGTACTACTACGATGGAAAAATTTAGGAAAAACGAATCAGCCAGCTCAAAATCAAGGTCCCTTCTCCAGGAAGATCAGGGTAGATTGGGGTATCTTGCCTCTGTTTGCAACAGCAGGGAGGCAAGACACTCTCATCTAATTTGAGTGCCTGGTTTCAACAATAGCCAGCATCCTTAAGCATCATACATCACTGCCCCATAAACTTACAGGCATGGCTCTGTTCTTTGTTCCTGCAGCTCACAGAAGAAGATTCTGCACAGAGATGAAGGGAACTATGATGCCACTCCCTTGCTTTTAAATACTCTGCAACTGAGGAATTACAGATGCCAGCAACCAATAGAAAAGCAGCAGTGAATGATGGCTGGAAGGATTATCAAGGCAGTTGTTTGTGGGGGATGTGGCAATGTGGCATAGTTTTTTCATTATGCATTGAGGCCAATGGAAAATACTTTCACAATGAGAGGGTTTTATTGTCCAAGATCTCTCCCCTCCCCAATTTAAATTGACTAGTTGGCAGGGACTTCTAGGCCTCTTTATTGTAAAAGCCTACAGAGATCAGAGCCAATTTATTTTAAAAATAAGAAGTGGGAGAAGCTTAAACCAGAATTGCTGAATTAATCTATTGTTAAGGCATGACTCTTATATCTAACTGAAGATATCTAATTCGTGTCCAACAAACAGTGATGGCCACACATTCATTATTAGATTGTTTTGCTGTCTGACTTTCTTCCAAACAGAGATTTTATCCTAACATTTTACTCTTACCTGTCATATCTCCAAGGTGAGACAGAAATATAGTTGATTTTGATTTCAGGAAAGATTGCGATATGTTTTCCTTAACCAGAATGATTCTATTTTAGACTATTTTATGGATTATTTTCTGGGTCCTTCTGGTCATTCTTCCCATGAAAGGAGAACATAACCATCAACAGTTAATGTGACTAAGCTGAAATCTTATGATCGGTGGGAGGGCTTACCAGGGATCATAAGATATTCTGTAATTTCCCTCTGAGGCTGGAGGGAGAATGGGGAATTTGGTATTGAAAAATCCTTCTGCAGAATTTCAGAACCACATCTTTGTCACACCAGAAAATCTAACACTGGGAAAGGATCAAAAGGAGGTTCACAGAATGAGGCTGTAAAACTGCAACATGCTAGTTGAAAAGTCTGAAAGTTACAAATTCATTATTTTTGAAAAACATCAGATTAGAGTTAAAACATCAGACTAGAATGAAGTAGATTAGGGTATCTACTTAACAGTACTTAATACATACTCCTTTATTTAGATCTCTAGTTTTCTTTCTCCATGACATTAGTTGCCAGCACGTTATAACTTTGCTCTCATCTTTGCAAGCTGTAAGGATGTTCTAGGTATCACCATGACAAAATGAGCATTGAAACTTTTCATCAACGCTTAACAGCAGTAGCTCTTAGACTGATATATCTTTTCACAGTGCTTTACAGCCCTCTCTAAGCAGTTTACAGAGTCAGCATATTGCCTCCAACAATCTGGGTCCTCATTTTATCCACCTTGGAAGGATGGAAGGCTGAGTCAACCTTGACCCTGGTGAGATTGCAGTCAGCAGGCAGTCAGCAGGCAGTCAGCAGAACTAGCCTGCAGTACTGCACTCTAACCACTGTGCCACCATGGCTAATGGTTTATGAAAGCCAGAGGGAGAGGAAGCCATGAATGGATGTTCACATTGAAAGAGGTACAATATAAAATACAGCAAAAGGGAAAAAACAGAGGCTATATTATGTAGCATAATAAACGAACTGAAAACAACCAGTAAACCCCACACTCACTCGCACTGATGCTGTAACATAATTGGCTAATAAAAAGTCTGCGAGCAAATAACCAATCTAAGAGAGCAAGAAGCTCTCCATAGTTCAATCCTGAGCTACAGATATTCTCTTCTATTCAAACAAGCCATATTACCCAGCAGCGAGTAGAATCATTGTGTTGGCTTTGTCACTTGGATAGGTCATCCATCCTGGTTTCTACAACTTTTTTTAAATTAATTGTTCCACTGTAAAGCCACCTGATAAGAGCTCAGGTTTGGTCCAATGCTGCCAAAAGACAAGGTGGGAAGCTCATTAAATTGAGATGCTTTGAATTGTTTAGGCAAGTGGCCAACTTTCAGACTGAATCTATCTATTCCCTTAGGTGGCTCTGTCCTGGTGATAATCCAACTGGTTTAAGATGGAGTTAAAAGAAGAATCTAGTACAGAGGCAAAGACTTCTCAGCAATTTCTGCAGAACTTGAGAATGACCAGGTTTTGGTGTATCATGACAATTGTGAATCATGGCATGAAAAAAGACTTTTTTTAAGTGGAGGATAGTGGGTGGGGTGAATAAATTATCTGAAGAATTAAATCTGCAGAGTAAAGAAAAAGAAAGCCAGAGGCAAAACGTCTATTTCTGTGGTTTGTGGTTTTGCTTATATTTTCATCTCAAGGCAGCTGAAGTCCTTCCAAGCGTTTCAGAACAAACAGTTCTCCTTTGCTCTACTATACTAGCTTATGCTTGCTTATGGAAATAGTATTAATGGATCCCATAGTAGCATTCTCATGGAACTCCAGAATTTAATGCATTGATGATATAATATGTGCAAAGATATAAGAGACAGTTGCAGAGGGTGAATGCTGGATCTAGAAAGAATGAGGATATCTTCTCTTCCAAGCATTTTTCAGCAACAAAAACACCTCTCCATTTCCAGGGTATTAGTCCTGATCTAGCTTTAAAAATATAATGTATGATAAAGGGGTAGATAGCTGCTGGCTTTTGTTTTCTATACTTTAGAGCTAGGTTAGCTAGTTTTCTGTAAACCTGCGGCATCCTTAGTGCTCTCTAAGCTTGGTTGTTTCCTTGCAGATGTTTAATTACCCCAGTAGTAATTACCTCATGTTCAGAGCAGCATTAGCATGCTTTTCTGTAGTCCTTTAAACTCACCAGACATGATTTTAATGTTCTTCCCATTTTCCCTTCTCCCCTCTGGTGCAAGAAGGAAGTTAATTTTTCAATAAGCTTGTTAACTTTTTTGTTTCTTTTTAAGCAATCCTAATTCCTATCTCTCAGACTTGAAAATGGAGGCTGGATTCCCTCTAGTAACGCCACCATCAATCAACAGAGTTCTCCAGGCAAAAACTATGCCTGCCCATGAATTCAGTGAGGGAAAGTGAACGATTCCTGATCTAACAAATTTCTCTCTCCTATACACCATTTATAGTGGTAGATGATAGAAATATTTTGGCGGGAACAGTAGGTCATTGCCAAGCAGGAGCAGTAATTTTGTGTTATATCCCTTATTTGTTCTGGAATACCCACAGGAGCATCTATGCGGGTTTTTTTCAATTCTAGAAGATTCAAAACAAGACAGTTTGGAATGTTCCAATTATAGTTAACGGGTATGTATGGCAAAACGTTTGTGAAGAATACAAACCTCTGTTGAAAATTTGTATATAATGCCTGCTGTCACAGTCTAACTTGGGATTCTGGGAGCTGCAGACCTAAGATATATGGAAGAACCAGGCTGGAAACTCCAATTAGTTTAAAATGAGAGGACTCAAAAAATATCTTGCCAAAGAACTAGAATTATGAAATATTAAATCAATTAGCCCAGTCAATGGAAAGACAGGGAGACCAGGTAAGGTAAAAACTTGGGATTTAAGCCAGAATGAGCTAGGGATGCAGAGATTCCAAGCTTGCAGGATATAATTCCATTTTTTTCTTTAATCACAAAAATCAGATACAAAATAGTGGCTTGAGAGAATGCAAAGAAATCTTGACCTTACAGTTGAGGAATGACTGAACACACATTCAAATTAGAATGTATTCCCATACCAGAACTCATTTACAGTTCAGGCACTTGTAAAAAGCACTCCTGTTTTTCATTCAAAGCTTTCTTCCATCTTGACACTATAATTTAGGAATGGAGAGAAAGGGGTTTTGGTTTTGTTAAACAACTGGGAAACAGAAAGTCAGATCGCTACAGCAAAGCGCTGATTTGTTGGTTGGTAATCTCAAATTAAATTCTCCCCAGCCACAGTCTGGACTATGAACTTGTATATATAACTGTTTGGAACCAGAGACACACTTAGAGTTGCATATACATCTTTGCTATAAACTATTCTTGTCCTTAGCTCCACTAAGGCTGGCTTTAACAGGCAAGAAATGGTGGCGTCCATCTGGTTAGAAACAGGGAGAAACCAAGCAAAAACTAAAATAGATTAAAACTTGCTCCTTGGAACAAATAGTA